CTGAAGAAGGCGATACTGCCGAAACGTCAGCTAGCGTTGTATTGTATTGTGTTTTTTATGGAAGTAAATGCATGCTGTTTAAAAACCTCGCGATTGCTGAACAAGAAAACGACACATTCATATTCCAATGCCGAGGTTAAGAGAAAGTCGAACCTGGGAACTATTACATGACAATTCAATGTCTTTCTTCAATAAGCAGACACCAGATTGTTAATATAGAATTCATTAGAGTACAATTGCTGACGTTTCGGCGGTTTCGCCTTCTTCAGAGCCTGGAAAGGTCAAATTGAGATGCGATCTACCCAGCCAAACACTTTCACAACCACAGCAGATAAAACTTAACAAACAAATTTGCATTCGCATAAGAAACAGCTTCATTTAAATACCTACCGTTTATTTGTTGTAAGTATTTAAGTTAGTTGGTGGATAGCCGCCGCACAGAGTAATACATGGTCGATAACTGGGTCCATGTCAGATCATTGGATCAGCCTGAGGTATGGCGCTAGGTCACGCGTGATGACAAGACACTCCTCCTTGCGGTTCATTTTTGAATTTTTGGCATTGATCCAGAACGCTTCAAGAGTTTTTCGCGCTGATGTTTTCGATTCCTGCGTAAGGATAGTGACTCCTACCTCAAAATCTTCTCCGTTGTGTTCCTGCATCCTATGCGCGCCTAGTGGAGTGATTGGTTTTGATTTAGATTTACCGACTAGGTGTTCTTTTATGCGGACGCAGAGCGGTCTACCCGTTTCGCCAACGTATTCGTCCCCGCACGCTTTACAAGAGATCAGATAGACTGTACCCGAACTCATGCAATCACCGTATCTACCATTTGGGTAAATTATGCAGTTTTTTGTTGTACATAGACGGTCATATAGGCGGTTGCGAACTAGCTGGCGTCTTAGAGTGTCCGGTGGTATTTCTATCACTCTTACGGAATTCTCTAGACCGGCCCTTATTAAGCAGCGTTTTATAGCCGCACTTATTTCGTTTGAAATAAAGGGCAACAGGAACGGAGCCTTGTTTTCGCTAGAATTATCGCTCTGGGGCAAGGGATTTCCTCGTTGCCTATGCCGAGAAACTAAAGTTTCGTAACCATTTGAAATGGCTATTTGCCGCGCCAGTTTCGACGATTCTTCCCTCTCCTCTCTACCTGTGCACACGCCGGCGGAGGTTTGAAACATATTTCTTATAGGCGCCCTTTTAGTGTGTGAGTGGTGAGAGGAGCGGTAATGAACCAATTTATTCCTACTGCCTGGCTTTCGATACCATTTTGTGTTTTTGCCGTTGTCGGATAGGTTGATTTGAACGTTTAGAAATGGAAGCCAGTTTTCTTTCGGTTTCTCACGAGTGAATTTTATGTACTCTGACTGTTCATTCAATAACTTAAAGCATTTGTCCATCTCCTCTTGTGTGGAGTAGATGACAGAACAATCATCTATATACCTACAGGAGAGTAATGGCGTGAGATCGATTACTGGTGCTTCCACTTTAGACATAAAGGCAACAGCAAGGGTTGGTGCCAGTCGCTGTCCCATTGCCAACCCTCTAATTTGCGCGTAATATTTCCCGGACCATCTGAAGATCGAGCAGTTTAAACAGACCTTCAAGAGGACCATAAGCTGCTGAATCGAGAAGCCATACATGTTAATTGTTCCTTCATGTTGCTCAAGAAGCACGCGGATGGCTTGCATTGCGGAGTCGTTCGACACGTTAGTGTAAAGGGCGGTAACGTCGAACGACTCCATAACGTGCGCGCTTTTGGGGCGTGCGTTACGTAGGCGGTCTAGGAACATTTGGGTGTTCGTGAGATGGGCTGGTATGTGCCTAAGCAACTGGTTGAGGATTAGGTTTATAAACCAAGCAATTCTAACCGTATGTCCGTCTACACAACTGATGATAGGTCTAACTTTAAAGGTGGAAGGGTCAGTAGACGCCAGATCATCAGTGGATATTAACTTATGGGTCTTGATAAGTAAGTATAGGACGGGACATGTCGGCACTTCGATCTTAAGATGCGAAATGTCTGCTGGTTTTAAACCTGCTGCGCTTGCCGTTTTGCCCCATTCGCTGCTCAGTTTTCGATTTTGACTTCTGAATTCCTTTTCAGTAGATGCGCGATAAAGAGATGCGTCTTCGACATGCTTTTCTGTTATATCGACGTCTAACTGGCGAGGAACTACTACAAACTCTCCACCGTTATCACTAACTGATAGCCTAATAGTTTTTGATTTTATTAGCTCTCAAACCTGTCGCATACCAGATTTTTGCGTAGCTGTAAGGTTCGAACTAAACCTTTTCGCGCGGTAGTGGTTAAGGAGTTTAAGAGTTTCGCTCGAAAAAATACGAAATTTTATATCGACTTCGTCATTTGGGTCTTGCTGGTCTACGCGAAAATCTGGTTTCAGGCAACGGCGGAGAAAGAGTATCGTTTGTCTAACTAAAACAATTTTTTTTTGTCTCAGTGACAGGACTTCTTTTACGAGTCGGAAATATTCTGCTTGCACTTCACGTAGCAATTCCCACGACCGACTTTCTTTTAACCTCAGCATTGATTGATAATTCGATGTTTTTCTTCAATAAGCAGACAAGAGATTGTTATTATAGGATTTATTAGGATACAATAAGTGCAGCTATAAAACGCTGCTTAATAAGGGCCGGTCTAGAAAATTCCGTAAGAGTGATAGAAATACCACCGGACACTCTAAGACGCCAGCTAGTTCGCAACCGCCTATACGACCGTCTATGTACAACAATAAACTGCATAATTTACCCTAACGGTAGAGACGGTGATTGCATGAGTTCGGGCACAGTCTATCTGTTCTCTTGTAAAGCGTGCGGGGACGCATACGTTAGTGAAACCGGTAGACCACTCTGTGTACGTATAAAAGAACACCTGGTCGGTAAATCTAAATTAAAACAAAATACTCCATTAGGAGCACATGGGATGCAGGAACACAACGAAAATATTACGGTTCGAAATACGAGCTTATATGATAAAAAACGAAAAATATTTTTAGACCCCAAAAGCCAGAATTTCCGCACTATGGAGCAAATAAATGTGTGTTACGTTGCAAAGGGTTGCACATTCCATTGACGTTTATTTCGTTTAATAGATTTCATTATATGCCCAGGTATTCCTGCTTAAAGTTATGAAAGAAAATTATTTTCGGGCTATTACGCATAGTTACGAATTTATCACAAGACTCAGTACAGTGTTCTTCTAAGTTTACTTAGCAATGTGCCATATTGAATTCTAGGTGGAAAGCAATCACTTTCCCTTGGATCAGGATGCATTCAGAAGGGAATTATTATCCACGAGTTAATGCACGCCGTCGGCTTTTTTCACGAGCAGAGTAGAACCGACAGAGATGACTATATCACAATCTTGTGGAACAATATTCTGCCAGGAATGAAGGGTCAGGTCAACAGTACCTTATTATATTCAATTTACAGAACTTATTTTATAGTATTGTGTGCAAGTTTCCCCAAAAGTTCGTCAATCCCATTTTTTTATGCTGAATTTAAATCGCTTGATGTTCGTGCGATACGTTTTGAACGATGCGTTCAAGGCAATCAGTGACAAGTAAGAAACCGAAACGACAACACGGAATTATATTTGCCTTTTTCACTCAGAAAAAATAAATAATAAGAAGCTTCTGAGAACAAAGATATCTTCGTTTTCTTGCTCTCTGGTTTTCTCTCTTATTGAACTGAATTACCCGATTCACCACGAATTCATGTTTACACTAAAGATTTCAGTATAGGGTATTAAATCAAACATATTGCTTAAAGGAATGCTGAGCTCGTAACCATTTTTTGCGCAGTATGAAATATGATCCAGGTCATATTTCAGAATGAAAAGTGACTATCAGAAGCACTCACATTATTTTTGTATTTTTTGAGATATGACAAAATAAGAGAGATTTATAAGAGATGAACCAAAACCGTGTTTACGAATCCCAGTTGCGATGAATTTGCCAGGAATTTGCAAGATTTTTGGAAATCCTTTCCAGGAAAAAAGCGTTTTTTTGAATTTTATAATTAAACGAGATGAGTGCGAGCTGAGTCAATTTCAGGAAAGGTCTAGGTCCAGACTTCATTCGGAGTATAGAAAACAAGTTTTCTGTAACCCTTCTTATGAACCTCTTACTTCCATATACTTCCACCGATACCTACGCTTCCTTGTCTTTTTCTGCTCTTTTGAGTGTCGAATAGAGTTAAAAAATGAATGAAATGAATTAGAAAATAAATGAATTACACGGCAGTGTGAAGATAAGTTATACAAGTTCTTTGCTTTCGTAAAACCTTGAAACCTCCACTTCAGGACAATTTGAGAAGTATGGTCATGGTATGATTCAATCTCTTGGTACTACCTATGATTACTCTTCCATAATGCATTACGGTGAGAAGGTGAGATTTTAGCACATTGATATCGATTGGCTGGAGGTATAGAATCAACTCGAGTCGAAGCCTTCAGGCGTTCTCACGCAACGGTCAGCCAACGATGGTTCCAAAGAAGAAAGGAGCCCAGATAGGTCAACGAGTAGGATTCTCGAAGACGGATATTTACAAAATAAACAAACTCTACGGTTGTCCTCTGGGTAAGTTGTGCAGCAGTTACCGCGACAACTAGTGTCGTTCTGGTTAACTAAGGTTTCAGAACAAAAACGTTCGTTTTCTCAAAATTTCAGTGCTCTGCTGCAAAAATTGGTACGCATGGGATTGAGGGGAATTTCAATTGCTAACTTCCAGGAGTTAATAAACTACTGAAATTTCCCAGAGCGTAATATATGGTTAATGTGAAAACCCGCCAAAATCTCTAAGAAACTAGTTTATGGATATTATACTAACGGTCGAAACAAAGAAAAAAACTAGTTTATCTTTTTGGGCCTAAGACGAGAATTTCTAAAATTGGAATCACTCGGCATTTGCCAGATGTTCTTCGACTAAATCCCATTTATCAATGAAATTGTTTTAAGACGGAGAGAAGCCTGAAACGACAGTCACCGAAACGACAGATGCGCCAGTTACAGAGACTGCAGCAACAACCACATTACCAAGGATTCTCACTACCTCTTCTCCTCCTATGCCGCTCATCCCGTTCATAAAAATCTGCAAAAATCTGCGAGGGGACTGCGACGACCTTCGGATTGAAGGTATTACTGTACTAATTAGCTAATTCCAATCTGTATTTTCAAAATGACATATCTCAGTCTAGAGCAGAGATTCTTAGTCGACCTAAAAACTATTCGAATCGACACATTTTGCCAACAAGAAACAAGTCTACTTACCTAGGCTCCATAAAATTCTGGACCTCAGGAGGTGACGAAGTCACTGAAGACAGCTTCGGCCTCGGATTAGTTTTTAGTTCATTTCTAGTACAGAAAACTGTCGAGATGCATGGGGAAGCGGGATTCGTTAAGAAGAAGGATGGCGAGTATGGTGGATGAGGTGGAGATTGGTAGCTTTACTTGTTCAACATTTGCTGCGTCACTGTGGCGATGGCGGCGTGTTATCGTGTACATGGCTTGTCTCATTGAGTTGAACAAGAAGAAGAACAAGAAGGAAGCAGAATTTGAAGCTATCGGTTCATCTCGTTGAACTGCTAGGCTTGCGTCTTCGCCGTAATTTCTTCACCCTCTTCACTTCACCAGGATGGTGTGATGGATTACACCAGCAACAAAGCACCGGAAGGTGAGCGTGGTTGATTTGCACTTTTCTGTTTTCCAGTTTCAATCTTAACAATTTCTCTTTATTGAGGTTTCAGCTTTGGGTTCATAACGGTTCGATTACTGAACTGATCGTCTCCATTTTCACAGAGAGTTCATTTGTCGTCGTTTGTCAAAATAAGATCGAGAAATTGGCCGTTCTCATTGAGCAGAAGGAACGTCGACGATACCTCAAAGCAGCCACCTCTCTGATAGTCATCCAAGTTATGCGTTTCATTTGTCGAGTCTCTCCAACATTCTAATCTCTCTTGAAGTTGAGGTGCTTAAACGGAGTTCTTCTTCGAGTTCTCCAACATTTGCAAGTGTATTTACTTTCATCAACTCTTCTAATTCATCGTCGTGAATAGAAGGGAAACGTCGGCGTTGTTCCTAACCTTCAATGCCGAACTCGCGAAAGCGAAATTTTCCAAACCAGTGGTGCGTTATGTCCTCAATAACGCTTGAAATATATAATAGTACAGCTTTCGAAAAGAACCACTGCTAAAACGTATACGATAAAGAACAAATTAGAAAATCCGACATTAATTCCCTAACAACCTAATAATTGTGCTCAGCAGTTTTTCTGGTTTCTAGATTAATTTTATATTATTTCTCCATTTTCAAATGTTTCCTCATTGATCTCTGCTTTCTCATCCACATTTCCATCATCTTTCATTCCTTGCGTTTGCAGAGCAACTTCGTTCACTAATTTCCACGTAGTGAAAATGCCTTCGTTCTCAGAAAGACGGATTCTTATTTTTGTTGTTCACCTATAAAAACTGGTAGTTCACCTTAGTAAGCCGTTTAGGGTCAAAGCAACAGTATCAGAACTTCAAGAACTCCTACAAAAGTGGATACTTATTGTTAACGACTCTTCGGCATAAAGTCACATGGCTAATTTACATTAAAGGTGCTCTACAAGCACTCAACACTGGAGCTTTGTGTTAACATAGAATTATATTAAAGAAAACAGTTTTAATGATCAAGAGATGCTATTAGAAGTTATTGAGAATCTTGTTGTACAACAGTGATTTGAAACATTTCTGATCAGGGTGGTGCGAACGGAACCCAGGCTGGATGCGAACACACTGCCCCGCTTCCTGTGGATTTTGCGAGAAATTATCCAGTGGGCGAATAATGAATTTTGCATATAAAACCGTAATAAATTTTTCTATTGATGCTTTAGCACCTGGAACAACTCTCATTCCATCACCAGTCACGATTTCTCCGTCGAATACCTGCGAAGACCTTAGAGTTGACTGCATTCTGCTTGTTTCTCAGCGGTAATTGAATCTGTTAACAACTAAAGATAAAAAACAATAAAAAGTGAACACTTTTAAATGCTGTACCAGTAAATGCTATTGGGAAAAATGCGTCTAAGAACGTTGAAGTCAGCAAATGAAAAATTCGATTTTGGAATTGACTGAAGACGGCCAAGGTTTTCCATACACGAGTTCACGCATTCATACTTCACAACGGGCCAGTTTCACACTGCTGATATGGGATGCCTAACAATTGCTTAATAGTTACCTTAGCCTTTGATCCTGTTTCTTAGGACTGGCACTTATGTGGCCTAACGCAGTCGAAAGAACACCGCAAATTGGACTAGGCTGGAAAGTAAGCAACTGACATTGTTTTGGGTTAAGAATTATTGGCTTTTTAAATTAATCTTCAACTTCAACTGGAGCAATGACGATAGAAACAGCTAAGAGCATTGCTGCACATTCGCACACGGTTATCAAATATTTACAAGCAGTTCAGGTACTGCAAAATGTCAAAAACGTTCATGAAATCCTTCTGTGCAAAAAGCTGTGGATTCTGCTACAAGCCACCACCAGTGGAGGGTCCCGATGGGAGCACAGTCCAACCACCAACTGACGGTACATATGCACCACTCATTAGTGTGTGGGGAACATCTGCAAGGTAATTCTTTCTGGTAATATTTCTAGCATACAACTGCATAGGCGTGATTTCTTTGCCTTCGACGATTAAGAAAACGTACCTTGAATCAGCAAAAAATCTCAAGTCGAATATGGTAACGAATAGCAAAGAGTTTGGGTCCATCATATACCTCTCCAAAAGGCAGCAATTTCTTTTGTTGTGATGGATTCAGTGGTTCTTCTGAGGTTTTCTGCTCAACCTACATGCACTAGTGATACGATGCGATATTGCGAAATGACTACTGTCTAGATGATCTTAAACCTAAAATTTTGCTGGTGACACGTTTTCTAAAGCCATCTGGAAATGAATAAACATTCAAAATTTTGAAAAATTTGCGATCTGTCGAAACGTCATCTAGGCTCACCGATATAACCTCTTTCCTTGCTTCCTTCAAAAACTGTGAAAAAAATATTCACTTCTTTTTGAAGCGAGCTTTTTTTGTATCCATAAACAGGTTCGCTTTCAAACACCTATGAGGAAAACGGGACGATGTGGAAGGAACTGAATAGAATGAAGAAGCGCGCTTTCATCACTATTTCTATTATCAAGAAAATCATGCATGTCCAGTTTTTCGTCATTGTTCACTGAACTGTAACAAAATGTTCACGCCTTCGATGTATTCACACTGATAGAGCGAAAACAATAGACTGAAGTGAACTCAGTATTCTTTACATCCTATTTGCTTGAACAACACTTTATGCCAAAGTAGATGGCGATTTGAAGATAAATCTATTCACTTGAGCGTTCAGTTTAAATTACAGCTCTGCGACGCTGACAACTACAACACTGCCATCTCGAACGACCTCTATCTCGTGCAAGGATCACAAACATTTTTGTGTACACTGGAAGGAGGCCGGGTTCTGTGAGGGAATCTTTATGAACTACATGAAGAAAAATTGCGCCGCATCCTGTGAAATGTGCTGATCGTTGTTCGAGCTTCGCTTAACAATTTATCGCGGACGTCCACCTTGTCACACACCCATGTTATTCAGTCATTTTCTCAGTATTAAAGGTAATGTGATAATATGTTAAAGTATATCCAAGTATATTAACGTACTACTGGTGACACACTCCAATGAACGAGTTAATGATGTGTATTTCGTCTAATATTGGTGCATTAAACGTGTTGGTCAAGTTTCTTCCACTTAATCCTATTGATCAAAGCTGTGCTCATTCCTCACAGACTTTTCTTGTGAACTACGTAAAGCAAAGCTCGTCAAGATTGTTAAATTAGTACAATAACTTGATTTTTTAATAAATTTCAAATGTTGTGAGCGAAAGACGTCCTGAAACAAGCAGCACTTCCAATGATTTTCAGAAAAGTTTTCAATATTATGCATCTTCCGCTTTCATAGCAGTGCACTGGGTTTCTTACACTGACCTGAATCGAACGAGTAATCGTGTGAAATAACTAATTAATTCGTATCACTCATTTCAAAGAAGCAGGTAGTGCTAGTGGTCATATTCGTTAGCCGATTATCCAGCCTACTCAAACGCATGGTTCTACCCCATTCTGACCCACCAAATCTTTCATCCCTCCAGGAGTCGATAAACTGGTAACAGATTTGAGTCGGACGGGCTCACTTTCTTCACTCTACTTGAGAAGGATCTGGCACGGCTATCTGAGGGTTTCAGGAGAATCGTCTCAAAGTATTCAACAACGTTCATGCCGAAGATAAAAATTCTCAAGCGACAGCCAAACCCATACAGGAAAACAAAGTTCGAAGATCATTATGGAATATGGATGTGTGGAAATGAATCCGAAGATAAAAATTCTCAAGCGACAGCCAAACCCACACAGGAAAACAAAGTTCGAAGATCATTATGGAATATGGATGTGTGGAAACGAATCGAACAAAAAAATTCTAGGATCCGCTCTGGAGCATCACGTGTGGTGGAGTCATGCAATGCAATGTAGTGTAATCATCTATTTTCGCCTATTGTGCGGATTGCGGCACCTTTTTCTCATTTCTCGCTTTCTCTCTTCCATTATGCAGGATGGCCCGTGGATTTTCATGTGGGTTCAACTGCTGAGGTTATCTTGGTCCAGCTAGCTCTGATCTTCTTCTTATCTTCATGAATGTCGTTGAATTCTCAACGAACTTATTCGTCTTAAAGGTCGGAGTGACTTTGCTAGAATGTTCCTTGTTCCTTACTACTGATAGTCGCCAGCTCTATAGAGCGAGCGAAACCTTCTCTAGATCTCCTACCACTGCCTCTATTGCAGAGAAAATCGCAGCAGGGTTGATTACATAAGGTGAAGGTGATTCACTGATCAGCCATGCGTGTGTGGTACAGAATTGCTAACCACTGCGGTTCCTACGATCTAATTACCACCGTTTGAGATTGAATACTTAGAGTATTTGCTGAAAATGAACAACTAAATCGTTGACAGAAAGTTCACATACACCTCGGAGTACGGATTTCATTTCCTTTCGAAGTGGTTTTCTTGGACCTATCAGTCTACCAGATGTTAAGCAAACAGCATTTCGTTCTGCAAAGTATGCTAGAAATAGAACACTTAAAGGAACTTTCAGCAAAGGATTTAATCTGAATGTTAGGCATAGCCACTTAATGTTTTTCCTTTCCTTATACCATATGTTTTGGAAGGAAGAAATTCGTTCTAGTGCGGTCCAGAAATTATGTTTCATTGTGAGAAGAAATGGCCAAAGCATTAATCTTTCATGTGAATGACCTCAGAAGATCACGTATGTCTTCCTTTACGCCGTTTACAACTAGTAATTTAAAAGTTAAAAGGGCACCATTATTTTCGCGTTCCGCGCTAGAGCGGCTCACTAGATTCTATTTGGTCGAGGGGAACACGAAAGGTACTACACTTTTCCTACCAGGTCCCCTATTTTTGGTGTTCTGGAAAAGATGCTGTTCACGACTAGCGCACCACGCTGGGTGCAAAACAATCTCCATACACTCAACCACAACAACCTAGATATAAGGCCAACCATATATAGCATATTCTATAATTTAGTGGGAATTTCACTTATTCTGTTTATCACTTGTGGGAGAGTCACCGAATGAAGCCATCGCCTATAGCATTTGTCAGCCTGTTGGTTGACAAGCAACTCGAGCAGTCGTCAACAACAAAGTCTCCACTCGTCCTTTCGCATGCAAGAGTTGCCCGTGGGTTCTGCTCACTTTGAGAAACGAAGAACTAAGTAGTTCCATCACACGACCTTCGTTATTAGGTAATAACATCGTTTTAATGGCCTTCTTGTTATCCGTTTGACATCCTGAAATAATAAATGGCAGTATTTTGGTAACGACGACAACTTTCTATCGCCTTCCCTATTAAAATTAGTGTCTACTACAGCTGGTTTGGAAAGCCCGATATTAAGCCAGACGATCCGAATCTTCCTAAGCTGCAGCTGTCATAAGCACCATTACCAATAATAATTAAGGATAGAAATCAGTCTCCAAACATCTTGAGAACAAGTGAAAAGTGAGTTCATATCTTTTCTTTTCTATTACATTCTTTGTCCTTGCAAGATCTACTCAGGAAGACGATATTTAATCCTGGTTTATCAAGGAACAAATTCTAAATATTGGTACTTTTACATGACCATTAGTGAACATAATTTCCATCCCAATTAATATAGGTATAATCGAAAAGCTCTGACCTACCGCGATCAATGACCAAAAACCGAGGACTCCGTTCTACACGCCAAATTGTTGATGATAAGATGGGCCAGACACGTAATGCGTATGAACGACAACCGACGGACAGGATCCGTTAGTGACAGAAGTCATCGGAATGACAAGCCTACAGCAGGAAGACCACCGACCTGATGGTCAGAGTTTTTGACGAAAAGCCTAAAAGAAAGGTAAGATGGTCAACGAGTTCCTAGAGCGAGCAGAACCCAATGGACTACTCTTGCACGCGACAAGGAAAAACAAAAGGTTTACTGGCGCCCTTTCAGTCAACGATCACCGAAACGAAAAGTGCTACAGGTGATTCAGGTGGTAATCCATAACGGCACTTTCTTGTTTTCAAGTTATTGCAGATGTCAGCATGACTGGATACGGTCGTTAGGTCCGGACAAGATGGACGTGGGCTGAGTGTTTGCGTTCGGCGCCTGCGAAATGTCGTGGCGGCCTCGTGACACCCGCATCCAACTCTCGCTCCTTTCCCTCCCCCACTCTCTATGTCTGCTCAATCGCTACGACCGGAATATGTAACGACTTTGGCAATTGCATGTGTTGGAAGCGATTCAACACCAATTTTCGGCCTTTTGAAAGTGGAAAAAAGCGCATGAACGCCTCGAAGTGATCTGTTCGCGTCTCTTCAGACGTTAAACGAATCTGCACGTAAGAAGAGGCACGCCTCTGGGAAGCGAAAGAGATCAAGATCCAGTACACCACTGAAGAACCATTTAGTGTACTTGTGATTAGACAGACGAAGTGCTCGAAGTCCTGGGGTGCTCGACGTCTAACGAGTATGGCGCCCAGCAGCCGACCAGTCGTGCCAATTGGGCAGCCTCCTGTTTACGCGCACGCAACGCGACCGCTCGCGTCACCTGATTCGAAAACGCAGCGGGTTCTAAGTCTGCGCGTTCTCCTAGATCGTCTTACATTTTTTCTAGGACACCGTTCTTGCTTTTTTTATGGTCAGTCATCATATAAGGCACGTAAAGAACGCGTAAAATTGGAGTTTTTCCTTCATTCCAAGGTGTTCCTAAGACCTAGCAACATGCAGAGGATCTCAATTCATTTCCATGAATTTTTCTTGATCTCTATTTTGTCAACTACTGCAGTAGGACAGCACGTCCAGTAGCTTCACGTTCAACAGCTCTCTTGTGTTGTCTTCTGGTTGTTCCGTTGCTTTATCCAGTTCGTTGTTCAGATTTTTTCAAATGTTGTTAACTGTTGTCTAAAAATGTATCTGCTTGTATTTTCAACAGTGACATTAGGTCTTGCAAGCGTGTTCACAAAGGCATCGTGTAGTTCTGTAACCCCGAATCAGACAAGATGGTTTCTTTTCAGGATTATTGGGGTCTACGTATGAGTGTATCATAAATTTTGCAAACCGTACTGAACATGTCGCGAGGTGAGTACCTTACTTACCTACTTAAGTACTTTTGCCTATAAAGTCTCTAATTTTTTGTTTTTATAACCTAAAACAATCAAGAAGGGCGTTTACTGAATGGTTTCCATAATTTGAGAACATGTTATTTTCGTTCATTTCATTCATATATCGGCATGGATTTTCTAGACCGAAGTCTAGTCCTTAAAAAATAAGGTAGCTTAGATTAAATCAGTGAGGGCATTTATGTTCTTGACAGTTTTCTTACCGTTTTTCCTGACATCGCCAGAAATCGGTTCTGCCTCTCGTTTTACAATGTCCTTAGTCCTCTTTTAGAATCGATCTGTCATGTCTGTCGTTCAAATACTTTGAGCTAACTTACTTTTTAGTAACATAATAACTGTTTCGAAACGTTTTTGGCTGAATAGTTGAGCACGTTTTTCATGCAATTTCACAGTTAGGGTGAATCCCGTGGAAGTAAAGATATCCAGATAATTATTAAAGAACTTTATTTCGACGTAGTGAATGGCATACATATTAATTACTTTCAATGAGCAGTAACTTGAGTGCTAACGATTTGGAAGCATTTACTCTTGAAGAAATTGCCGGCAACATTTATCATCGCAGAGCGCTGGAGTTTTGAAGTGGGGGAGTAATCTTTCATTGCACGTATTGTCCAATGTTTAGGACCCGTTAAAAGTTATTTAGGACTTTTTACGACATGACCAGTGAAAAGTTTTAGCCCAGAAATCTTAGCAGAAAAGTATCCTCTCTGGAACAGTTCGGATGTTAGATATCCGTAGAACTTTAATCCAACCTTTAAGCCACGGTTTGGTTATGCGCCATGAAATTCTGAGTGTAATACATTGTGTCGAAATTTTCCTGC